GAGGGAGAGGGGGTCACAGGTGGAATTGCACCTGCACGCCCACACACCCTCCACCCACGGGCGCCGAGGGAGAGGGGGTCACAGGTGGAACTGCACCTGCACGCCCACACGCCCTCCACGCACACGCACTCACAGGGTCTCCACGTAGGCGTTCTCTGCCACGTTCCACACCTTCACGGAACGGTCGTGGGACGTGCTATAGAGCTGGTGGGTGCCTCTGCGGAATGCCAGCCCCTAAGGGTGCAGAGAGGACAAAGGGGGCCTGGACTACAGAGGGCGAGACAGAGGTCAGGCCCAGGGCGGACTTTGTGAAAAGCAAGTCACACGGCACAGGGAGCCTGCTCCCCGAGAGCACTCCGCGAGGCGCTTCTGCGCAGCCCTCTCCAGAGCCAGGGGCATGCTCACCTGCGCTCACCTGCCCTTGAGTAGCTGCAGACCTCTCAGAGGCCTCCCTGCTCCCTAGGGGAGCTCAACTTGGTCCCCCCAGCCCTGTCCCTTTAGCCCATTCACGTCCTTCACAGTGCCACTCGCTACACCAAAGAGCAGGTTCCCTGAGGACAGGGGCACCCTGCCTCATTCACCCCACTCCCCAGAGCCCAGTACCAAGCCCGGTGCTCAATCAACGGCCGCCCGAGGAGGCCCCGGCCCTCACCGACACGGCGTCCCGGTGCCCCGTGAAGGTGTACAGGTGCTGGCAGCTCTGGGCCTCCCAAATCAGGATGAGCTTGCTGCGGTCGCCCGAGGCCTGTTGGGGATGAGGACAATGGCCACAGGCACCCACCGTGTGCCCAGACCTCTCACCCACCCCCAGGGCCAGCCCTGCCTTACAAGGTACTTGCCGTCGGAGGAGATGGCCATGCAGAGGACGTGGCTGCTGTGGCCGGGGGGCTGCCCCTCGGTCCCTTTCTTGGCTCGTGGGATCACGTGAAGCTTCCGTCCACTCTCCACACTCCCTGACACCGGGGCAAGAGAGAGTCTACTGGGATGGGGGGACACGACTGGCTGGCAAGCCCCTGAGGGCAGCGTGGGACCACGGGACAGGTCCTGGCCTCGGGTCAGAAGACCTGGCTCAGCCACTGTGAGCCCCTGCTCCATCTGTTAAGTGGGGACAACGATCCTGAAGCGCAGCCATCAAGCCCAAAGAGAAGGGACAGAGGAGTGCTCTGGGACCGAGGCTGTGAATTCCTCCTGTCACTGCTGTGGGACGAGGAACTCGATCCCACGGGCCCGCCAGGCCAACTGCCCACTGGCAGCCCCGAATCCCGTTAAATCGTCATCCTGCCTCTGCCCAGTCTCAATGACAGAGACAGGGAGCTCACAAGCTCCACTCTTGGGCAGAAGTTTCCACCGTCACCCAGAAAACACTTCTTTGGGAGCAAATCTGCCCCCAGAAGCTTCCCGCTTTGGGCCTCGCTGGCCCTGATTACTCCCTCCTCCCAGACCAGCCCTCCTGTGAGCCCTGGAGCCCACACCCCCATCCAGGCGGTCACTCACACTTAATGATGGTGCAATCTTTGGCGGCAGAAAAGATGGCCAAGTCGTCAGGGGTGATAACCAGACACGTGATGGAGAGCTGGTGGCCCCGTAAGATGCGAATGTCAGCTGGGGCTGGGGCCTGGATCTGGGCAGGCAGGGGTCAGTCACCGTGACGGAGGCAGGAAGGCACCCCCTCCACACAGACACACCATCCTTCCCTGCTCCCGGCCCAGAACAGAACTGGACCCAGGGCTAGAAGGACCAGACCCTGAACGGACCCTGTCTGTCCAAGTGCCCACCGTGCTCTCGAGCAAAGACCCCATAGCCTTAGTCCCCAGTTGGGCCATCTGCCCACCAACCCAGGTGGGACCTCCAATTCCTTCCAATCTCGCACCAAAGGGTTCTGTTCACTCACCTCCTTTGCTACTGACTTCTGCAGCCTGCCCCTCTGCTCCAGCTGCAGGGAAGAGAAGGGTGAGGTTCCAGGGCCGGGCCAGCCCCACCCCTTCCTCCCGCCATCCTCCCGCCACACATACCACGTCCTCCTTCAGGCGCCCCGCCACCTGGTCCTCCTCAAACTCACGGGCGTCCACTTTCTCCTCCTCTACGTAAGACAGTGACCCAGTAATCACAGGCCAAAGCCCACTTTTCCTTCCCATCCCAACCCCACCACCTCCGTCCTGGGCCCCAAACACTTGAGCTGTGTCCCGAGAGAAGTTCAGGCTGCCTCGGACAGAGGGGAGGGAGGGCCGACGGTCTCCTGCCCAGCCCCTGCCCGTACTTGCCAGGACAGTCTAAAGCCCCCGAAGGTCTAGCCCGCCCCGGGAAGCCTGTGAGAGGTCCTGGCCACCCTCCCACAGGGCGGCCAGCACCAGCAGCCCTGGCAGCCCACTGGGTACCTGCGTCAGTCACTCATCAGGTGGCTGGGGCTGCAGCAGGCCGGCTTAGGCACAGGTCCCACCATTCACCTGCCCAGCCCACAAGCTCACCTTGCTGCCTCAGCTGCTCCAAGTAGAGCTTGGCTAAGCGCAGCTTCTTCTCCTGTGCGGTCTCCTCCAGCTCCTCCTCCTCCTCCATGTTCCTGGGAGCTAGGCTGTGGGCAGGAGGGGCTGGATTGGAGGGGGCTCACCCCAGTCCTCTGGCCACCAGGACCATGTCTCCTGGCTGCAGCCCCGGCCAGCCCCCCATTCCCATCCCTGCCAGCTCTCATGCCCAGTGAAGACGTGACTTCACAACTGACAGGGCCCACCCAGTACCCAACATAAGGGTGAAACAAACCCAAAACGCAGAGATCACCGTGAAATTGCTCCCCTCTGGAGGAAAAGAGAAGGTTTCACAGGCACCCGAGGAAACTCAGGTCATGTACGAAGGGTCAGAAATCAAAATGGCTGAAGACATTTCTTGCTACAGTGACACAGGAAGACATGCATATCGCACACACAAAATTCTGAAGGAAAATGCTAACCCCTGCCTGGACTCCATGCCGGTTAAATTGTCCGTGACACGGGTAGATATTGTCAGATGTCCAAGGCGCTATGGAATTGGTCCTTCCTCCCTCTTTTAAGCATGGAGGACGTGCCCCCGAACGGGAGGATAAGCTAAGCATGAGGACAGCACGGGAGACAGGAAATAGGAGACCAACACAGAGCGCAGGAAGGTAACTCCGAGAACAGCAACCGCCCCGGACGTGGGGGAGCAACCAGCCGGACCCCACGCAAGGACCCGAGAGGCAGACACACTGGGTCTGTCATCGGCCCATCCCCACTGCCGTGGCATCATCCTCTACCTGGAAGCTTCACGGGGGCCTTGGCTTGACCCCATGCTGGTGAAGTTCCTGCGTTCCCCTCTCTGCCCCTGTCCCTGGACCAGCTGAGACACTCATTTCACTCAAGAAGAGCCCTCCTTTGACTTGCTCCCGGGAGCTGGAGGCAGAGCGAGGGAACTCGGAAGCAGAAAACCCGGGGCAGCCCGCTCCCTCTGACCACGCACCTGCAGACGTCTAGTGCCAGTCACGTGCTCCGACTGGTTCCCGGGACTCGTTCATGACCTTGCCTGCGACTTTCCCAGAAAAGACCTTGGAAACCCTCAAGGCCAGACCCTGCTCCAGTCACCATTTAGTACTCGGTGTCCAGTAAGCCTTCAGTCGACAGGGTCGGTGCTATCCTTCCCTGACACAGCCAAGGTCAGAACTTCTACTCAGTCTACCCAAACCAATCAATCTATTGTTCAGAGGTTCCCATACAGGAAACAGGACTCTGAAGAAAATCAAGGGAAGTTACACGATAGGATTCCATTTATATGACATTCTGGAAAAGGCAAAACTCAAGTGAAGCCAGTGCCTGGTATACGCTGCCAGTAATCGTGAAATTGTGGGGGAAAGTGAACAAAGAACTAGCGAGCATTTCTTCCATCCCTCTCCCCTTGCAAGTCAGTCCAGCCTGTGCTCAGTTCCTTGCCATAAGCCAGGGAGGCCTCGCTGGTCTCCCACTGGGGCTGGGGGAGGGAGAGCGGCGCGTTCCTCCCTACACAGAGACCCTGTGCAGAAAGAGATGAGACTTCTCAGGGTCAGAAACTGGAGGAAAGAGCCAAGATCTGAGAGCGGAGGGCTGGAGTCCCGGGTTTCAGGCCCAGCTCGGCCCTGACTCACAGCGTCTCCCACACACGGTGGGCCTCGGTGGGCCCTTCCACTAGGTAGAAACGAAGAGCTCACCTCTCACTCTCGGAATCGCTGGAGATCTCCTCATTCATCTTGCCGCCACCTTTGGACTTGCCTCTGTCCCCGGCAGAGTCGGCCTGGGAATTATACGACCCTTTCTTTGGTCAGGGGTCTCGACCCCTCGCGCACTGACCGAGGGCCCCCTCCGGTCTCTCGAGAGCCCTGGGACTGGGTAAGGCGGTGCCCCCCGGCTCCAATGCAAGGCCTTCCAGGATTTGGCGGGCAGAGTGATGAAGCCCACTCCAGCTTGGGGTCCCGGGAGAAGGGCCGGGGATGGGATCGAGATGGGGATAGGAGAGGATGAAGGTGGGCCCCGTAGCTGGTCCGACCCCAGCCCGCAGAAGCGCGATGCTCACCTTTCGCCGCCGCTTGCCGGCCCCCGCACCAGCCCGGGCCCCCGAGGCCGGCTTTCCCCGCTTTCGAGCCACCGCTGTCGCCGACATGCTGCCCGCGGAGTGTGTCGCAGGTAGGGTAGGAGCACTCACGTGGCGACTGAACCCGGGCGGCCCGGCGTCACTCTGCTCCGGGATAGGCCCCCACCGCCCGGCGGGCCCCGCCTCCCACGGCTCCATTGGCTCCTTCGGTAGGCTCTGTCACGTCCCCGCGCGCCCATTGGATAACCGCCCGTGGCCACGCCTCTTAGGGCTCCCATAGGCTTCCGCGCCAGGCTCCAATAGGAAGCAAGCCTTTTCCCCGCCCTTCCGGCCCAAAGCTGTGGCGCGTGCGCAGCGCTACTTAGTGACGTCTAAGGAGGGACGGACCAGGGGGCCTTCTTTGTGTTTTCGCGCCTTGGACGCTGGGGCGCCAGAGATGAGGGGATCCGAGTTGCGGAGAGTGACTCCACCCCATCAGGGGGGCGGGGACAAAGGTGTACCAGTCTGACACTAGATAGATAACCCGAGGGGAGACCTAGGCAGCCCTGGAGGAGGGAAGGGTCCGAATTCAGTGGTCAAGCAGCGAACTTGTATTGCATATGCGCGTCAGTCCTCTGGGCCTTGGCAGTGTCCTGATCAAGTGTCCACCCATCGAACAGGCAACCCTCCCTCATGCACTTGACCCAGCCTCTGACTCACCCGACTAACGGACAAATAGCTGAATCCCACGACTCTATCACTCCAGCTTTTCCCCGCCCCTGACGATTACCGGAAAGTTCTCAGGTCACACCCAAGCCTTACCGGAGAATTGCTAGAAGAGATCCTAGAACTGGTACTGCGTGGGAGGTCCTGATACTGAGCAGAGTGGTCACCTCCTTTCCCAGGTCCCTGCTTCTCTCAGGTGAGTGCCCTGTGGCACTGTCCACAGCTCTTCACGGAGCAAGGCAGGGCAGGGTAGGGTGGGATGGCCCTTGCCCTCGAACAGTTCAAAGCCACTGGTCTGGGACCCTGGATGGCACCCCAGAACTTCTGAGGCTATCGGGAAAAGTTTCTGTGCGACTGGGTCCCAAGCTCTGGAGGGACAGGTCTGGCCTTAGGGGTGCTGCCCTCGGCAGCCTCTGCTCACTGTCCTCCGTAGCGGGGGTGACTTAGCCCAGCCTCCATGCCCGGTCAGAAGTAGCTGAGAAAGGGAAGGAGCAAGCCATGCCCTGAGTGCTCTGGAGGGGAAGGGCCCAGAAGTGGGAGCAAGGAGATTCTCCTTTCACTTTCTCTCCCATCTCTGGACACACTGGAGAGCCAGAGAGGGGAGGGAACCACTCTCCCTTGACAGGAGTGGGCAGACTGGACAGGGTCCCAGCCTGGCCCCTGTGGCTAGGGACAGGGGCATATCTGGGGAGCAGAGAGCTGGTTTTGGTCTGGGGCTGGAAATGGGGAATGGAGGTAGGGGGAGGCAATGGGAGGTCACCTGGGGCAGGCTGCTGCTGCACCAGCCAGGTGAGGTACAGAGACCAAGGTGGCCATGTTGCAAAAATCAGACCGATGAGAAACCAAGAGTCGGAGAGCAGGTGTATTATGCCGGCGGCCCCGGAGGAGCGAGCCCTCCGAAGATCTGGGCCCATAGCTCAGTGGCAGCTTTGCTTATACAGAGCTTATTTGTCATGGGCCGATTGGTTAATTTGTCCTCAGACGGTTCCAAAGCTCAAGAGTTGCTGTGGGTGGCAGGCAATTATGAAGAGTACAAAGCTGGGGAGTTGCTAGGGGGTACAGGCAGTTACATTTGTTGCTTGGACAGAACAAGCAAAAGGGAAGACGGGTCTACTTAACTTCGAGTAAGGCCTATGCAGCATGCATATCTACAGAAACAGAACAAATAGCTGATTAGCCTTTTTGAGTGAAAATTCCTCTACAGCCTGAGCACCGCCCCACCTCCGTGCCCCAGAACAGCCATGGCTTCCAAGTGCAAGGCGGCTGTGCAGCATGAGGTCCCCGTGAAGAAGAAGCAGCAAGAGGCAGAGGAAGACAGCCTCCACTCCGCTGCCGAGGCCCTCAAGCCTGCATACACAGAGAAGCCTGCAGCCAGAGAGGACTTAACGGGTGAACTCAGCCACAACCCCAAGAACAAGGTAAGCTGCAATCCCCAGCCAGGCCTGGAGTCTGCTCCCTCCTAGGTACAAATATACTCAGTCCGCGCCCCCTCCTCATGGGCGTTTGGCTCTGGCCAGGAAGCTCAAGGCTCCCAAGTAAGCCATGTTCTCCCAAAACCCCAAAGGTCAGGCAGGGCTAGATCCCATCAAATCCAGGATGCGCCCACACAGAATCTCATCGTCGTGTCTGCTCTTTAGACCCCAGAGCAGGCCCCCTGAGCTTCTCGAGCCTCCCCCTGCCACATTTAAGGCAGGGCTCTGACCCCCTCAGCCTCCCCAGGGCTCCCCTATGTCCTCTCTAACCAGCCCCCCAGGGTAGAACCACGTCCTCCTCAGAGATCCCTCACAAGGTAGGGTTGTGTTTCCATCAAACCCCCAAGGCAGAATCCTGACCCCCTCAAGCCTTCCCAGACAGGGCTTCCCCGGTGCAGGCAGACTCCCGTACCCATCAGACCCCTGTCAGTGAGGGGCTGGGCATCCCATACCCCTGGCCTGCCCTCCCCACGCCTCCTCCAGCCCCAGGTGTATGGGAACTACGACTGCCCGCTGCACCTGACTGACATCGAGAAGAACAACAATAAGTTCTACACCATCCGGCTGCTGCAAGAGGGTGACAGCTTCTTCTGCCAGAGGCTCTGGGGCCGTGTGGTGAGTGCCACCGCCCCTCTGCGCTGCCTCCTCTCCACTTCTCCCACTCAGCATGTGCCCCCTGCTGCCCAGGGTCCCCCCAGCTGACTGAGGCTGAAAGGCCACAGATGCTGACCTTTCGGGGTGCTCAGCACAACAGAGACCAGCGGGTGTTTGCGGTGGGCACTGTGGCCGCACACCCCTGAAGGCTGGTGGTTGCAGGGAGAGGTGGGCAATTCAGAAACTGAAGAGCCCATGTCACTGGAGGATGCAAAGAAGTGGTTCGAGAAGAAATTTCGGGAGAAAACCAAGAATGCCTGGGCAGAGCGACACCGCTTTAAGCCCCACCCTGGCAAGTACAAGCTTATCGAAGCACACAGAGAGGCTGAGGCCCCGGAAGCTGCGGTGAAGGTGAAGTGGCCCGGGAGGATGGGTGGGCCCGGGGCCGAGGGAGGGGACTGGGAGACCCAGGCAGTTGGGCTCTGCCGCGGCCCAGCCGTGCAACCTCAGGCACAGATCTCCCCGCTCTGGCCTCGATGTGACCGGTCTTGGTCTAGTGCCTGGCCCTGCTCCAGGTGCAGGTGCCTTGCCGGCTGCCCCTGCCCTCCACATGTGCCCTCTGCCCCTGGGTGGATGGAGGCCACTGAGGACCGTGGCTCCGCAGGTGCGGCCCTGCACCCTGGATGCGCCCACACAGAATCTCATCGTCAACATCTCCAGCAAGGACGTGTTCAGAGATGCTATGACCCTCATGAAGCTGGGTGAGGGAGAGCGGTCAGGCAGGGTGGCAGGGGCCCAGGGGTGGCAGGGGCTAAGTCTCCTGACTCTCCCCACCCCTGCCCCCTCAGACATAAAGAAGTTGCCCCAGGAAATGCTGAGCCAGCTGCAGATTACACAGGGCTTTGCGGCCTTAGAGAAGCTGGAGGAGGCCCTGAAAGCCCCCACAGATGCTGGCCACAGCCTGAACGAGCTGTCCTCCCGCTTTTACACCATCATTCCCCACAACTTCGGCCGCAAAAAGCCCCCGCCCATTGACTCCTTCAAGCTTCTGCAGACAAAGAAGGACATGCTGCTGGTGAGGGCTGGCAGGCGGGCAGGCAGGAGGCTACCGAACAGACAGACTGGGCAAGGGAGACGGGGGACAGATGGCCAAGAAGGCCCAGAGAGACGGACTGCAATGGACAGGCCAAAGGACAGGGGAGAAGGCCAGGCAGATGGATGGGGTAGGAGCGAACTGGTGGACAGACAAGTGGGGTGGCCACAGTCCCAGTCCCATGGGAGAGAGAGGGGAAGCCGGAGGCCAAGTGGATAGACAGTTGCCAGTGCCTGTCACCTTAGGTGCTAGACACCGTCGTCAAGCTGGTCCAGACCCAGGAGGCAGCCCTCGAGGAAGAGGAGGTGGAGGATGTGCCACATCCACTGGACCGAGCCTACCGGCTCCTCAAGTGCCAGCTCCAGCTGCTAGACCAAGAGGAGCCTGAGTACAAGGTAGGCCGGGCCCCGCAGAGGAGCCGGGCTCGTGGTGGGCACCGTCCCTCTGCCCATCTGCCCTCTGGGTGCCCAGAGGAGTCCTTTCCCCATGGCCTTCTATCCCTATGTCTCTCAGGCTTGGGGACAGCTCTGGGATGGGGGGGTTCGGTGGGGGTTCATCCACGCATCTTGTCCTCAGCACCCAGCTTCTGCTCTCCCCACAGATGATACAAACCTACTTAGGAGAGACTGGCAAGTACTACGAGCGCCTTGGTCTGGACCATGTTTGGAAAGTGAACCGAGACGGGGAGATGAGCGAGAGTACCCCACCGCCCTCCCCTGCCATCACTCAGACTCGCAGTGAGGTGGCCTTGACTTATCTGCCCCTCAGTGAATCGTTTAGCATTGACCAGTTTCCACCAGGCCTGGGTCTCGTGTGTGTGTGTGCGTGTGTGTGTGTGTGTGTGTGCGCGCGCGCATGAGGGTGTGAGTGACCAGAGGGACCCCAGGCCCTGGTCAGGCCCTCTGCACAGCAGAGAGAAGCACATGAGCTCTCTATGTCCCACCTTCTCCCCCCTCAGAGAGATAAGCTCCAGGCCCACTCCAAGCTGGACAATTGGAAGCCACTGTGGCATGGCACCAACGTGGCTGTGGTGGCCACCATCCTCAACAATGGGTTCCGCATTACCAAAAGTCTTGTTAGTAAGAGCACCTACTTAGCCTTGGAGAACAGTAAGTCCACCGGCTATGGCAAGGCGCCCCTCAGGCCAAGCCCTGGGCGGTGTGGGGGCAGGAGGGTTGGGCCTGGTGTTTACCCAGTTTGTGGAGGATCGGGGAGAGGAACCCTAGCATGCTTACCAGCCACAAAGCTCAGTGGGGCGTCCCAGGGCTTGGGGGGTTTCGGGACAGCTTCTTTGCGAAGGCCACACAGCTGGGTGAGCATACCAACCAGACCTGGGAAGAGGTCAAAGAGGAGCCTTCAAGGTAAAGCAGCCAGGGGGCGTCACAGAGGCTGGGAGGCTCCCGCAGGTCAGGACCTCCAAGTGTGGCTGATAGTGAAGCTTAGAGCAAATGCCTCATGTGGCAGGGATGTGAGGGCCTGGAAAGATCAAGGGGGCCTTACCCAGAAAGCCATGAGGAGCCCATGTGGACCTGTGCAGAGCAGGATTTCAGTGGCTGCAGCCGTGGAGAGGGCGGCAGAGGCCAGAGGCTACAGGGAGGTGGTGCTGGCATCGGGCCAGATGTGGTGGGCACCCGGGCCACAGCAGGGGAAGTGGGGGAGGAGGGAATCCGTGAGAGGGATATGCGGGAGGTGGGATGGCAGCGTGTGGGAAAAGGTCGAAGGTGTATCCTGACGCCCAAGTTTCTGTCCAGAGTGTCCTTAACTGAGGTGACCTCCCCAGACTGTCTCCTCAGCACGGGCTGACCCCATTATTAGAGACCACTACCCCCCACCCATCCAAGAGAGCAAGGTCCAAGGGCAGATGGGGCTGAAGTTCTGGGATGCCCGTGGTTGCCCACGGCCCGGGGGTCCAGCAGGAGGACAGAGGGGCCTCAGAAGGCATGGAGGGTGGCCTCAGGGGAGCCAGTGCTAGGGGGTCCCAAGGTAAAGGGTGAAAAATGCTAGTGGCAAAATCAGCAGAGCGGGCCCGGGAGAAAAGCCCCCGCCCCAGATTTGGTCACTGGGAGGCCAGTACTGACCTTGGGGAGGGTGGCGGGGCCGGGGCAGAGGCTGGCCTCAGTGAGCCTAGGCATGGGGCAAAGAGATGGGCGGGAGCATGGCCAGGACAAGGGGTGTTTTTAAGGACGGAGGAAGAATGGGCACCTTTCTGGACTGGGACAGCACAGTCAGAGGAGAGAACAATGCAGCGGAGGAATCCAGGGAGTCCGGCAGGAGGGCCGAGCCGCCCAGCCGGAGTCTCGCTGTGTCCCCCAGTTTCTGGCATGTCCTACAAGGATGACCACCATGTCAGCTACATGTTCCTGGGTGAGGAGACACCGGACAGAGAGCACCACACCACCGTCGACGAGCCCAGCGTGAAGCAGCCAGACCCCGGCTTTGACAGCGTCATCGCCCGAGGCCACACAGAGCCACGTGAGTCCCACAAAACTGAACAGGCCTGAGGATGGATGGGGCTGAGAGAGGGGACCAGGACACTTTCAGGGAGGAAGTGAGCAGAGAAGGTCTGTGGAGAGGGACAAGAAGAAGCAGACTTCCTCATGGTAGTCATTCACTTAGGTTCAACAAATCGTTTCTGGGCATCCAGGAAGGCTTCCAAGAAGAGGTGTCATTGACTAAGCGTTGAAAGATGAGTGGGTATTTCCCAGACAGAGGAACGGGGGAGGGTAGTCCAGGCAGAAGGCCCAACCTGTGCAGTGGTTTGGAAGTCGGCGAGGTGGGAATGAGCAGGCATTTCGTGTGTCAGATGTGGAGAGCACAGGGGGCAGGGCTTACTGGTAAGACGAAGGACCAGTGACTCTTGAGTCATCCCTGGCCCTTGCTGTGTGTGCACTGCAGATCTGACCCAGGACACTGAGCTGAAGATGGATGGCCAACGTGTGGTGGTGTCCCAGGCCCAGCCCACGCTCGGCCCAGAGTTCAGAAGCTCTACATTCTCCCAGAGCGAGTACCCCGCCTCCCAGGAGAGCCAATACCACCTGTGCTACCTACTGGAGATGCGCCTTTGAGCTGCCTGCCCGTCCCACCCCTCAGGGCCCTGCCGGGGGCAGGCAGTCATCCTCACTCTTCCTGCCCACCTCTGGTGCCCCCATATCTCCCCTTCTTACTTCCAATCTCCTTGCTATGTCCCAGACAGTGTTCCCCACTCCCTCCAATCTTTGCTAGCCGTGGCATGGCTGGAGCCCTGGACTCTCGCCTCCTGAGGTGTGGGAGTGAGGGACTGGCATTATTACTGGGACACAGATGCAGCAGCCTGTTCAGAGCTGCGTAGTTAGAAGGCACAGGCTGATGGATCCCACACCCTGCTGGGCCACCCACCCTGGCTCAGACTGCTCATCCGCGGGTGTGATCACCAAGGCAGGCTGACCTTCAGGCATGCACAGACAGGTTTACTAAACATTGTATTCACTTACCCTGTCCCTGCTCATCGGGTGCCGTAGCCTGCCACGCCTGGGCCTTCCTTCTCTCCACAGTGACTCAGCATACCACACAGTAGCTCCAGCCCCACTCCAGGGGTGATCTGGGTCCCACACTCACCCCCACACCCCCCAGTCCATCTACATCCATCACAGCTACAACCCGCCTCCTCGGATCATTGAGCCTTCAAAGGTGACCCTTTGAAGACCTGTTGGTCATTTGGGGACCCACTTGGTGATTCTGTCCTTTAGCCTGGACATGGCAAGGCCAATCAAGTATCCCTCATGTCTTGCCATCAAACATCCGTGTGAGTCTTATGTGTGAATATGACAAACGAGATGAGCACATACCTGAGGGGCCCAGCTCTGCCATCATGAGAGGAGTACCCATTATCATGATGAGGAAATTTCAGGAAAAATTAATCAGCCTTCTGCTTTTGTAAATATGCTTGCTTTCTGCAGATCAGCTTGTTGCATGCAAGGGCTCCCGCAAGAGCTCCCTTGCACTTTGCTCGACTTATAAATGTAACTGTCTGTACACTAGCAGCAGGCGCTTCCTGTGATAATTTGTGTTTACTGGTTACCCATAGCAACTCCCCGCCCTTCTCTTTGTTACTACTTGAAATCTGCATAGCAACTCCTGCTATATGTAACAGTTTATGTTCAAACTGACCAATCAGGTTATATAAAATTTTTCCTATATAAAGAGAAATGTTTCCACTGAGGGCACCGCCCACATCTTCAGAGCACTAGCTCCGCTGGGACCGCGCATAATAAAACCGAGTTCTCTTTCTCTCTGAGTTACTGCTTGGTTTTTCTCTGGTCTGATTTTTGGAGCTTTTGGGATTTTTCCCACAACACCGGAATCAGCCATTTCTCCAAGGAGCCCTAGTCCCCTAGAGCAGGAAACGGTATTTAAAATCCAAGATCTGGGGAGTAGGTATGCTCTGCCCAGCCTTGATACTGGGGTGTCATTGCTTTTAAGTGCTTGAAGCAAAGAAAGCTATATGTAAATAAACAAACACACCTTCCATATCTATTTCTCCAGTTTCAATCCAACACCGCAAGTTTCTTCCATTCTTCCCCAATTCCATATTTATACCCCCTTCTCTAACAGTAAGAACCTTGGTTTCTAATAACTTCAGTATGTTTATTTGTTGGCTCGATCCCACACAAAAAATTCCAGATTTGCTACACCCATGCCATTGTGAAAAATAAACTTTCTAAGCTGAGCTCAAGATTTATTCAATCTTATTCAAGATCATCTTTTTGTTCTTAAACTGAGGTCGATGAGTTTGAACACAGTTCAAATGTTAGATTAGTTATTTATTTCCCTTCAATGTTCTTATGCTATTCATTTGAAATACAGGTGGGTTCATTCGTTTCTGCTTATATTCACTCTTCGGGGGGTTTCTTCATCTTCGTTGATTTCTTTTATTTCAATACACAGCAGAACATTAACATAGTCCCCAAAAGTCCAATCTATACAAAAAAGTGCGCTCAGGAAAGTGTTCATCTCCTAATTCCCACCCACCTGCTGTAGGAAGCCAGGGTCGTTTGTTTCTGGTTTATCCTTCCTGCATTTCTTTCAGCAAATTTTTTAAAAAGATAAACTACATTTTTAAATTTACTTGAATGATTCTGGAGGAGCGCGGACTCTCCAACCAACCATAGCCCCCATCCCTCCTTATTGTGCCTCCCAGTCCATTTTCTCATTTGCTATTTCTGCCTGGCCTTGCTAAGCCCTCCCCAGGCCCTGGGGGCTCAGGGGCTGCCCCAGCCTGCAGGCCCGACCAGGCAGGGAGAGGCCCGATGCCTCCTCTTTCCTCTGAACAGTAACTTCAAAAGTCCAGCTTCGCCTCCTAGAGGTAAATGCCCACATTCAAATGGCAGACCGGACCCCTAGGAAGCATGTGACCTGGGTTCCAGGTACGACTCAGCTGCACGATCTGGGACACACTCCTTCCCTCTCTGGGCACCAGTTTCCTCTTCTGAATAATGGAGAATTGGGCTGAGGCCCTTCACATGCTAGCAGGAAACAAATCCAACCCGGAGATGCAAGTCCTGGTCACGACCACCTAAATCTCTCCTGGTGCTGAAACGTGCCTGTGATGGGTTCCAGGAGCACAAGCGTGAGCGAGATACAGACCAGGTCCCGGCTCTCACAGGCTTACGTTCTAGTAAAGCAAGCTCTAAACAAGCAGGTGCGTAGATGTGAAATACAGTATCAGGTAGGGAAGGTACCAGGAAGAAAAATTAAGTAAAAGGCTCAGTGATAGGAGAAGGGAATGATTTTAGAATACACGGTCGCTGAAGGCCTCTCTAAAACAGACCTGAATTAGATGAGGGAGCGAGCCATGGACAGGTCTGAGGGAAGGGTGTTTTAAAAGAGGAAACAGCCAGTGCAAAGATCCCGAGGTGGAGACCAATTTGACATGTGGGAAGCCCAGCGAGATGATTGCCGTGGCTGGAAGGAGGGTAGGCATGGAGGAAGGTGACCTCAGCCAGGTGGGAAGAGCAATTCAGCACAGAGGAGCTGAGCTTCTGTTGAGGATGGGAAGCTCTTGGAGGAATGAGAGCAGTGTCAGGACCCGCCGGATTTGTTTTTAGAGGATCCACTTCAACCACTGTGTAGAGAGTGGACTGTAGGGGCGTGCATCAGTCTAGGTCCGGTCAGCAAAGCAGAAATCACTCTAGGTATTTCAGATAAGAGAAGTTTGATACAGGAAAGGAGACGAGAAGGGTGGAAGCTGCTACCACTCTTAGGGTGGAGCCATAATGGAAGGAGATGGTATTCCGATGCCCAGAGGCCAGAGTCACCTGCAGGTGCTAGAAGCACAGAGCAGGGGCTTCCTGAAGGAGAGAGAGGCCACCTTCCACAGAGGTAGATCGACAGCCCTAGGCTGAGCATGAGAGGGAAAACACACTGCTTCTTCCTCCTTCCACGCTCCCACGTGCTCCGTCTAGACTCTGGCCTTGCCTGCGCTAGGCCCCCTCCGGAGGCGCCCCCAGCACTTTCTCACAGCATAGCCTCCCGCCTCCAGCTGGCAGCTGCTAGGACCCAGGGGGCTGGTGCCAGGCCCTGCCCTTCCCTTGCCAGCTCTGTGTGTCTGTAAAGGGCAACATCAGAGTGACAGCCAGTACCATCTCCAGCAGGGGCTGAGTTGCTGGGGCAGACAGAGGAGAGAGCTGCAGCCTCAGTCTTGCGCCCCTTCCATGGGGCCACCCAAGTCCCCAAGAGGATGGTGGCCTGGGCAGCGGAGCCAGGGCCTGGGCAGCCCACGAGGTGAGGGGCCAGAGGAGCACGGGGCTGGCGGTGGCAGTGGGGGGAGAGTACTATTCCATCTCACTCTCTGCGTCCCAGCACAGGGTGAAGCCTGAACGCTCGGATGGCCAACGCCACAGGGCTGAACGCCGCAGAAGCCGCGGGCTCCATGGCGTTGATCCCGGCGGCTGTTGTGGAGGCCGCCGCACTGCTGGGCAACGGCGCGCTGCTGGCCGTGGTGCCGCGCACGCCAGGACTGCGCGACACACTCTACCTGGTGCACCTGTGCATCGTGGACCTGCTGGCGGCCGCCTCCATCATGCCGCTGGGTCTGGTGGCCGCGCCGCCTCTGGGGCTGGGCCGCCTGCGTCTGGGCGCT